AGCGCTATATAAATAAAGGTGACTTGACTTGACTTGACTTATGTTTTCAGGGCATCTATCTATAATCGCTGTGTTTATCAGCATCGACCAAAGCAGAGCTTCTCAATCATTAGGTTAATTACCCAGCATTCCCAAGTTTTCTCCCCATCTCTTGATCGTTCTACTAAAGCCTCAATAAGAGATTAAACTAGTAGCTGACACTCAGTAGGGAACCTGTGTTAGCATCAGCCTCTCTCATTAATCAGAGCACTTTTGGGAGTGTTTTTCTCTCTTGTGAACACAGAGTCTCTCAGATCCACATGAGGATCTTAGCAGTGTTTAAATTATCCTATTAAACTCACCGATTAGGAAAACAACCTCAAACAAACATGAAGCTCTTTACATGCCACAGGAGGAAAGCATCTGTGCTGTGGATGTGATGTTAGAGTTTAGTGCGCTAACCAGTGACAAATTCAAGTGAATGTCCAATGCTACGGTAGTCGTTTATAGTCATTTAATAATGATAAATGATTCCTCCAGGAATTATCTTAAAAAGGGATTTTTCTGTTTTACTGTGAGAATGACAGAGGGACAAAAGCGAAGAGCCCATTTCCTGACTCTTCGAGCATAATACCATCACAGCATCGTCTGATTTAACCCTAATGACATTCCAGTACTGTCCCAATCCCATCAGCCTAATGAGCCTGCAAATGATTTCTGGCATTATAGTGCACCAAACACACTGACTGTTTTCGCTGATGAAAATGTGCTTTTGTTTATTCAGTTGTGAACCCCAGAAAGTTTGAAGGAAAGCTCTGAGGACAGAGCTACATAATAACATTGCGCCTGCTGCACCCATGGTACGGCAGCAAAGTTTCTTGATTATTACGCCGGAATGAGAGTATAGTTCCTAGCCATATTGGCCTAGAAAATCTCAACTTTTCATTTTCCGTCTGTCTTCGTACACGATGTAACTACAGAAGAGTCAAGTTTTAAATGGGAAAAATATCGAAACACTTTGGTCATTTTTGAGCGAGATGCTAACGGTCTAATCAGATTCAATGATGCTTTTGTTTATTCAGTTGTGAACCCCAGAAAGTTTGAAGGAAAGCTCTGAGGACAGAGCTACATAATAACATTGCGCCTGCTGCACCCATGGTACGGCAGCAAAGTTTCTTGATTATTACGCCGGAATGAGAGTATAGTTCCTAGCCATATTGGCCTAGAAAATCTCAACTTTTCATTTTCCGTCTGTCTTCGTACACGATGTAACTACAGAAGAGTCAAGTTTTAAATGGGAAAAATATCGAAACACTTTGGTCATTTTTGAGCGAGATGCTAACGGTCTAATCAGATTCAATGATCTATGCTAAGCTACAGCTAAAAGTGCTACCGCCAGACCAGGAGATAGGCTGAACGGACTCGAAAACGGTAAAACTCAACTGTTTAACTCTAGGGGAGTTGGAAAATGAGCCCATTTTCAAAAATAGTGGAGTGTTCCTTTAAATGTTCCTGGTCTTATCATGAAAGATTCAGTGAGAAACGAAATGTATTAACAAATCCAAACTGACTGTCCTTTATGGGTGACAAGACCAAATCCTCTCAATTTTAAATCCCACCCCTCCAACAACCTGCTTTTCACAATCCAGCCAAGTCTTGCTCTATATTATTGTCTCACAGAACATCCTGTTTCACTCTAAAATATGTCACAGTATGAAAGTTATTAAAATCATTTTGACTTTAAATGTAACTTTCTTTAGGGAATCATGGATAACGAGATTTACGAAGACATGAACATGGCAGTTCGAGCACAATGTGAGCTTGCTCCCAAGCGCATGCTTATGTGCATGACTGAGATAGAGATGTTGATGCTTTTAATTGCAGGAAGAGCACTATTTATTTTTTGGAGGTTGGCACTAGGCTCTGATAAAGAGTTTGGGAAAGGTCTTTGATGCATCTGACCATTTGCGTGGAACTTCCTGTCCTAAGTCTATCTACACTGCAAAGTTACCGTTAAAGCATTCCTGCCCTGGGTCTTCAGTCAGATCTGAGACCGAAGGCCTTTTCAAGACGAGTTAACACCCAAAATGATTACAGATGCTCTGGCAAAATGAGTCAACTGAAAATGACAAATCTAATCTTGACTATAAAGCCTTGATCAGATCAACCCGAGAACTGATGGCCGGGGTGGAGACGTACACAAGTGCACTGCCTATCTGAGAGACTGACTGATGGTTTTCTTCATGTCCCGGATAAAACATTTATGAAGTGGTTTCATAATGAACACTCTCGATGTGGTAGGGAGGCTCTTATTTGTGTGC